TCCAGAATTCATCGAATTGCACGCTTATAGTATTTAAATAAGGATAATATAACTAGTTTTTTTTTTATATTATGTAGAAAAATCGAGTATACGTAATACAAATTTACATAAAAGGTACCCACATCGATGTCATTAACACTAGATTTACGGAACCCGTCAATTTGACGGATGTTTGATTCCATATTTAAAATTGCAGAACGCGTAAATATTATTTTTTAACAACTTACGTTGAATTTGATTGATGCAATGGCACGATTACATATCCTGATTAAAAGAAAAATCGTATTGTAAGGTAATCGTCAACATGAAATGTATCAATAAATATACGTGCGATCAATGCCCGTATATCTAGTGTTAAACCTGATTTCGACCATAACGTTGTATATCAACGGATAGTTTCCGGTGAAAAGGCTGAACCAGTCTTACAAACGCGATATAATAACTATCGAACGTGTCATGGGGATCGTGCAAGTTTTCGTTAACGGGGATCGATGATTTCAGGAGAGGATCAATACCGAGGCGCCGGAGGATCCAGCAGCGGGAGCCCGCCGGCGAGTTTGCTGGTGGTTCCTCAGCCTTTGACCGTGAAACCCTCTCATCCGTCGCACCTGAACCCCCATTTAGGCGGACCACACTCTCATCCACCGAGGAAATACCAGTGCAAAATGTGCCCACAGGTTAGTCGCCATTGTTCAGCCATTCTTCTTACACTTTTCAGATTCAATCACCTAAATGGGAACGGGCTACGAAATTGCGTCATTGTTCCCACTCAATTTCTACTACTATCTATTTGAATTAATCAAACTTATTAATTTACAATTTAATTTAATTGTATTACAAAACTCTACGAATGTCTGCGTACATGACTCGATTACTACGATTCTATCAATAATTTGGGTGGGATATAAAAGTTCCCTAATTCCCCAGAAGTTCACCCAAATTCCCCAAATTCCCCAGATTCTCGCTATGGAAATCGCGCACACGGTGCAAAATGGACAAATATAACCATAAATTCAATCGAAATATTGCAGTAAAAAATTTCGAAATTTCATTTTGTACCAACTTTTATTCCGCTTATTTACGTACGCTTTTTGTGGTAAAAAAAAACCCCCTATATATAGCATGCAGGGTGGGAAAACAGGCAACTGCAATTTATTCTATAAAATAGAGATTCAATTTTGAAGATCATGTTTTTCTGAAGGTTTTTGTCGCGAAAGCAGTGGTAAACGACTGATTTATAGAGGAAGAAAACAGCCTGCAATTAAGGTTCCCGCGACGTAACTGGACATTTTTTCCCCATTTTTGCCCCCTGCGACTCGATAATGGTTCGTTTTATGGCGCTTTAACCCTTTAACGGTTCTCCCGAGGGCCCCGGGACTTCCGTGCGCGGCAGTGGCTGGATTTTTACCGCAGGTACATTCGCGAGGCCGCGATTCAACAAAGCCACGAGGGTTATTCGGCTCTCGCCACTGTTGTAAAACACCGGCCATTCAGCCGGCAACCACTTTTCTCTCCCTGTATAACACGCCATAGAAGTTGCACAAGGGCTCTGGAAGGGAGCACCCTCTGCCTTTCTCCTAATTTCCCCCTCCCCTGCTATCTGTCGCGTACTCGAGACCACCCCTTCGACGCTCTACGCGCGATCTCCCCTTTTCCACCGAAATTTTATTAGCTTTATCCAACCACTCCAGCCCCGATTCTTTCGACGATTAACACGTTCACTACAATTGTTTACGAGAACATTGATTTTAGGCAACTTAAAAGTTATACTAGTAGTTAAATTTGTTAAATTTGTTTTGTTTTTTTTTTTTTTTGTCGTTGCAATGTATTATAAATTAATTTATTTTGTCAAGTTTTATTAACACTAGAAAGACTGAAACTTAGTATATACCTATATTGCCCAAAAGCAGTCAAAATGACTGCATCGTGAAAGACTAACTAATGTGTAAAGAAATTTGTTTAAAATTAATTTTTAATATTATTTTATAATATTATGAATTTAGGGCGCGGAAATAAAATAAACAACTTGTTAGAACAAGTATCACTGCATAAAGATTCGAATAACAAGTACTACTTTAGCTTATTGAGAAACTGCAATTTATCAATAGGTCTGGGTTAGGTCTGGATTAGATCTGGATTAGATCTGGGTTAGGTCTGGATTAGATCTGGATTAGATCTGGGTTAGGTCTGGATTAGATCTGGATTAGATCTGAGTTAGGTCTGGGTTAGGTCTGGATTAGATCTGGATTAGATCTGAGTTAGGTCTGGGTTAGGTCTGGATTATATCTGAGTTAGGTCTGGGTTAGGTCTGGATTAGATCTGGGTTAGGTCTGGATTAGGTCTGGTTTAGTTATAGGTTAGGTCTGGATTAGGTATGAGTTAAATCTGGGTTAGGTCTGGATTAGATCTGGGTTCTAATCCAGATCTAACCGAGACCTAATCCAGATCTAATCCAGACCTAACCCAGAACTAACTCGGATCTAACCCAGACCTAACCCAGACCTAACTCAGATCTAATCCAGACCTAACCCAGACCTAACCCAGACCTAACTCAGACCTAACCCAGACCTAACCCAGACCTAACTCAGATCTAATCCAGACCTAACCCAGACCTAACCCAGATCTAATCCAGACCTAACCCAGAACTAACTCAGATCTAATCCAGACCTAACCCAGACCTAACTCAGATCTAATCCAGACCTAACCCAGACCTAACCCAGATCTAATCCAGACCTAACCCAGAACTAACTCAGATCTAACCCAGACCTAACCCAGACCTAACTCAGATCTAATCCAGACCTAACCCAGATCTAGGGTCTGGGTTAGGTTTGGGTTAGGTCTGGATTAGATCTGAGCTAGATCTGAGTTAGGTCTGGGTTAGGTCTGGATTAGATCTGGGTTAGGTCTGGGTTAGATCTGAGTTAGGTCTGGGTTAGGTCTGGATTAGATCTGAGTTAGGTCTGGGTTAGGTCTGGATTAGATCTGAGTTAGCTCTGGGTTAGGTCTGGATTAGATCTGAATTAGATCTGGGTTAGGTCTGGGTTAGGTAAGCCCAAATCGACAATTTATCATGTACTTGTATGTTATCATGTGTTGGTAATCGAAAAAAAATGAAAACTGTTATTTCAATACAGAGTCGAACTGGTCATATAAGAAATTTACTCAATTCAATAATAAGAGTGATTTGATTATTTAAAATTTCCCGAGCAGTCAAAATGACTGCTTTTGGGCGATATAGGTATAACACATATACCGGAAATGAAGGAGGAGGTAACTACAATTATTAATGAACGCATTTATATGTTGTGCAAAAAGTCACAAAATTCTAAGAAATTGTGTCATTATATACATAATTGTTTTTCTAATTGAAATTAAAAAGCAGTCAAAATGACTTCCTTGGGCAATCTAGTGTTAATGATAATGTTTGACTCGTAGTAGGTGGACGAAGTATTAAGTAACACGTGGTTAACCTTAAAACTGCTATAACACGTTGACTGCCAGTCCAAAATCCTACAATTGTTTACGAGACCAAAACTCTGATTTTAGGCAACTTAAAAGTTATACTAGTAGTTAAATTTGTTAAATTTGTTTTTTTTTTTATCGTTGCAATGTATTGTAAATTAATTTATTTTGTCAAGTTTTATAAATGATAATGTTTGACTCGTAGTAGGAGGATGAAGGAGATGAGTGAAATATTAAGTAACACGTGGTTGACATTAAAAATATGTTCCTGAAAAAATCATTTTAATAATGAATAAATCTAACAATTTTGTTAAATTGGAATGTTATAGAACGTGTTATAAATTAATTTATTTTGTTGAATTTCATAAACGATGATGTTTGAGTATATAAAATCCACATCTATAGTACTTTATATATTACATCTTTCTACCAAAGGGGTTACTTCTGTTAATGAGTGAATAATATTATTGTAAAATGATTTTGTAACAACATATAAGATTCTATTTTACACTATCTTGCATTAGGAACCAGTTGGAAATTTATCTTTCAATTTATATTGTATAATTGTTTTAAAAAGTGAAGCATAATTTAGACCACAGGGGTGTTGAGTGAATAATATGAATGTAAAATGATTTTGTAGCAACAAACAAGACTATTTTACACTATTTTGCACTAGAAACAAGTTAGAAATTTATCTTTCAATTTATATTGTATAATTGTTGTCAAAAGTGAAGCATAATATAAAGCACAGAGGGGGGAGGGGGTTGACACTAAAATATTAAGCTTGTTTAGTAAATAGACACTCTTAAAGTGTTATTCACTGCTCACAAATGTTTAAATTTGCATTAAATTGTATTTTTCTTGGGAATTCCCGTGGGAATCGCAGAAAATTCCACCCCCTACCCCCTACCTTTGTAAGAGAAAAATCATCCCCCTCAGTTTTCAGCCAGCGCACACCTTACACCTTACACGCGTATCGATTTTATTTCCATTTTACCACCTCCGTTTCTTCTTCTCACCCTCGAAAATCGCCGATGTGTCTTCGACGAAGGGTCGCAGGTAGGGGAACGGGTTGGGCCCGCCAAGAGGCGACTGTTTTTTCGAAATCGAGCTGTCACACGGCTCGTTTACGACGAGGACTTGCCCTTTACATCTTGTAATCCACGATGGAGTCGGGGATTAGCGTGTCGAAAGGCCAGGATTATGGAACTTTCAACTGTACTTAGTCCTTAAACGTCAAACGTTAACCTTAATCGCTTATACCAATCGATTCTTCCTTGTACCATGCAAACATGTAATTACAAAACTAAAATATGTTAACGATAACATGTAGTTTGAATAAAAAAAATTCTTTCAATATTAATTAAGGAAAATACAGAAATAACTCTAGCATTCAAACATGTAACTGAAAGACTAAAATTAAAATTAACAATAACTAATAAATGTAGTTTGAATAGAAGAATTCTCATTAAATATTATTAAGAAAAATACAGAAATAACTCTAGCATGCGAACATGTAACTACAAAACTAAAATATGTTAATAATAACTAGAAAACTGCTCTATCTCATTTTTCACCCATTCTGGTTCCTCTTCTTCTTCTGTACCTTCATACATATCACCAATATACTCTGAAAGAGATATTTTGCCATCTTCATCTTTATCAATATCTTCCATAGTTTCTAGTACTACAATAGAAAACTGTTAATAATAACTAATAAATGTAGTTTGAATAGAAAATTCTCATTAAATATTACTAAGGAAACTACAGAAATAACTCTAGCATTCAAACATGTAACTGAAAGACTAAAATTAAAATTAACAATAACTAATAAATGTAGTTTGAATAGAAGAATTCTCATTAAATATTATTAAGAAAAATACAGAAATAACTCTAGCATGCGAACATGTAACTACAAAACTAAAATATGTTAATAATAACTAGAAAACTGCTCTATCTCATTTTTCACCCATTCTGGTTCCTCTTCTTCTTCTGTACCTTCATACATATCACCAATATACTCTGAAAGAGATATTTTGCCATCTTCATCTTTATCAATATCTTCCATAGTTTCTAGTACTACAATAGAAAACTGTTAATAATAACTAATAAATGTAGTTTGAATAGAAAATTCTCATTAAATATTATTAAGGAAACTACAGAACTAACTCTAGCATTCAAACATGTAACTGAAAGACTAAAATTAAAATTAACAATAACTAATAAATGTAGTTTGAATAGAAGAATTCTCATTAAATATTATTAAGAGAAATACGGAAATAACTCTAGCATGCGAACATGTAACTACAAAACTAAAATATGTTAATAATAACTAGAAAACTGCTCTATCTCATTTTTCACCCATTTTGGTTCCTCTTCTCCTTCTGTACCTTCATACATATCACCAATATACTCTGAAAGAGATATTTTGCCATCTTCATCTTTATCAATATCTTCCATAGTTTCTAGTACTACAATAGAAAACTGTTAATAATAACTAATAAATGTAGTTTGAATAGAAAATTCTCATTAAATATTACTAAGGAAACTACAGAAATAACTCTAGCATTCAAACATGTAACTGAAAGACTAAAATTAAAATTAACAATAACTAATAAATGTAGTTTGAATAGAAGAATTCTCATTAAATATTATTAAGAAAAATACAGAAATAACTCTAGCATGCGAACATGTAACTACAAAACTAAAATATGTTAATAATAACTAGAAAACTGCTCTATCTCATTTTTCACCCATTCTGGTTCCTCTTCTTCTTCTGTACCTTCATACATATCACCAATATACTCTGAAAGAGATATTTTGCCATCTTCATCTTTATCAATATCTTCCATAGTTTCTAGTACTACAATAGAAAACTGTTAATAATAACTAATAAATGTAGTTTGAATAGAAAATTCTCATTAAATATTACTAAGGAAACTACAGAAATAACTCTAGCATTCAAACATGTAACTGAAAGACTAAAATTAAAATTAACAATAACTAATAAATGTAGTTTGAATAGAAGAATTCTCATTAAATATTATTAAGAAAAATACAGAAATAACTCTAGCATGCGAACATGTAACTACAAAACTAAAATATGTTAATAATAACTAGAAAACTGCTCTATCTCATTTTTCACCCATTTTGGTTCCTCTTCTCCTTCTGTACCTTCATACATATCACCAATATACTCTGAAAGAGATATTAGGCCATCTTCATCTTTATCAATATCTTCCATAGTTTCTAGTACTACAATAGAAAACTGTTAATAATAACTAATAAATGTAGTTTGAATAGAAAATTCTCATTAAATATTATTAAGGAAACTACAGAAATAACTCTAGCATTCAAACATGTAACTGAAAGACTAAAATTAAAATTAACAATAACTAATAAATGTAGTTTGAATAGAAGAATTCTCATTAAATATTATTAAGAGAAATACGGAAATAACTCTAGCATTGAAACATGTAACTACAAAACTAAAATATGTTAATAATAATATGTAGTTTGAATAAAAAAAATTCTCATTCAATATTATAAAAGAAAATAGAGAAATAACTCTAGAAGATACTAACTATACTTGTGGGAACAATTTTCCCCAAAAATTCTGTCATTTATCTACTCTTATTGGACCTCAATTTTTTTTACATTTTTTGGTTTGAGATTATCTTAGAGAAATAATATATAATAAAGTACAAAGTTGGTATTTGCACTAAATGGATGAATTATTTGGTGTTCAAAAGAAATATACATTTATGGAGAATTTAAATTTTCATTTTCAAATTTTGACCTCAATTTTTTACATTTTTTGGGTTGAGATTGTCTTAGAAAAATAATAATAAAGTACAAAGTTGGTATTTGCACTAAATTGATGAATTATTTGGTGTACAAAAGAAATATACATCTTTGGAGAATTTAAATTTTCATTTTCAAATTTTCACCTCAATTTTTTACATTTTTTGGTTTGAAATTATCTTTGGAAAACAAATAAAGTACAAAGTTGGTATTTGCACTAAATGGATGAATTATTTGGTGTACAAAAGAAATATACTTTTATGGAGAATTTAAATTTTCAAAATACAGAATGCATTTGATACGCAAAAATACAAGAAATAATTCAAATAAAATACGAATTATTATACTCAGGAGTTGTGAAAATCCTCCATGAAGCTACCATTTTGTTAATTGTATTGGTAAAAAGATTTCACAGTCTACTTATCACTAAGTTTGTTATCTGTTTTATTTACATTATTGTTGTATTTTACAATTTTCAAATGTAAAATTCAAATGTATTATTCTCGAAAATTGCCGACAAAGAAGATTCTAAGATAAAAACTGATATCGAGTCAATAGGAGCGTAAAGGGTTAAAAACAACTCCATTTACTATAGATTTAATTATTTAAGAAACTATTGCTTTGAATTTTAGTCCAAAACCATCAACCATCCAATTAAATAATTGATTAATTAATTTTTAGTGTTCAATAAAACTCAAATTTTCAAGACAAAAAAATGAGCTTTAATCAGTCAGATATCTTCCATTTTGTTCGATGACCTTCCCGCCATCTTTCTGGTGACTTCGTGATCCCGTGCTCATAGAATTTCTGGTCCCCAACAGCAAAAGACACAACCAAGATCATCAACGATTTGATTTGATCGTTATTACTGAAATTTTCACCATTTAAGAAGCTTTGTAAACATCGAAATGAATGATAATCCGATGGTGCAAGGTCAAAACAAGTTCCAATAGTTTCGAACGTGTTTCTAAAGACGTGTGAGGCCTCGCATTGTCGTGGTGGAACACGATTCCTTTGCGATTAGCCAATTGTGGCCTTTTCTCTTCGATTGCTTCCCCCAATTTCACAATTTGTTGCCAGTAAACATCTGAAATGATCGTTTGGTTGTTTGGAAGCTGCTCAAACTACATAACACATTTGTAATCCCTCCAAATTTACAGAATGATCCTTTTTTCGATGCAACTGGGCTTCTGATATGGTTTGTGCTGGTCCATCATGCTTGGATCACGATCAACGTTATTGTGGACGATCCATTTTTCATCTTCAGTGATAATTCGTTCGAAAAAAGGCTCGATTACATCACGTTTGAAACCAGTATCACAAATATTGATTGTGTTAGGTGAATTATCGAGAAAATATCGAGCTTCCTAACAAGTCCAAGACGTCTTATACGATTTTCAATCGTTGTGTGTGGTACATTAAACTGTTTTGCAATCTCTTGCAATGTTATATGGCGATTCGATGCAATTATGGCTTCCATTTTGTCATCATCGACTTCAGAAGGTCGACCAAGAACGTTGGTCATCTTTCTAATTTTCTAAACCAATTCTGACACGTGTGTTCTGTTAAACAATCAACGCCATAGACTTCACATATCTCTTCGCGAGCCTCAAGCTTTCTTTATGAAAATAAAAACAGTAAAATTCTGTCGAAAATGCTTATTTTTGCTCTCCATGTCAAAACTTACCCATAGACTGACATTTGTAAACAAAAATTACACGAAATTTGTTTCTACATCAATCTAAAGGTATCGGCTACCAAATCTCAGAAGAAACAAATTCTAAAATCGACAAAAGAGTAACGAAACAAACATAATGCTAGCTACTGGTGCAAATCGAAAACACTTTTTTTCCAATTCAATAGTTTAGAATTTTTCCCCTTTTTTACGCTTCTTCTTCTTCTTCTTCTTCTTTGTGTTTTTTACGCCTGCGAGGTCATTGGCGGCGGATGCGTGCTTGCGCGCTATATTTGATTATACATATTTGTTTCTTTGAGAAATTTTAGAGTGTCACTTGTGTGGGCCTGAGCTGTCTTTGCTCAAGTTTCAATCATTTGCAAGCATAATCAGCGAGCGTTGGCTCTCTGTTCATAGCGTTCGTTGGCCTGTCAGGTAGCGGAAGGGTTGTGGCGATTTTCAAAAATTCCCGGGGGCATTTACGACCGGATTTTACGGGTACGTCGTCCTAAAGATTCTCTAACCCTTTTCCCCCGGCTGTTTGCAGATTTAAAAAAGTTCCCGTAATCCTTTAACTGCCTCCTCGACGTAACAGTCCAAGTCCTCATCTTCCCTTTTTTTTCTTTCGTTTTTTAAACATCCAACGACGCTCGCGATTATCCTCTTTGGATTATCGCACGTAATAGCACCTTTCTCCCCCCATGGATTTTTATTAATTTACCTTAACGAAAGTTACTTTACCTCTCGATTGTTCAACCCAACACTCTTCGAAGGTTTTATGACTGCAGTTTTATTAAAAAGTAAACAACGTCATTTTCACTTCGTTTTTTTTATTTTACGTCGCTTCGATGGTCATCATTTTATTTAAGATCAAAATATAACAGACCATAGTTGATTTTTGAACAAGAAAAAAGCTAGTGTTATTTGTTTTCTTGATTTAATGTTAAAAAAAAAAGATAACAAAATCGTTTACTATTTCGTTTTTTTAATAACCTAAAAAGTACGATTAATTCTTTCTTCCACGGCCATCAGCGACGTATCGATCGATCTTTTTTTTTTTTTAATTTTCCAGAATAGATTGTTAGCCAAGTTTTATGAAGAAAACTGTGATTGTTTTTTGTATTTTGGTCTTTCCAATGTATTTTTTCTAGTTATTAAAATTATTTAGGTGACCGTGGAAGAATGAATTAATCTAGTAGTTTTTAGGTTATTAAATTTTGTTATTTTTTTTTTTAACATTAAATCTAGAAAACGAATAACACTAGCTTTTTTTTGGTTCAAAATTCAACTATTGTCTATTATATTTTGATCTTAAATTAAATTAAATGATTTCATAATCTGAACTTTCGTTTCTATTTATTTATATTTTCTGTGCCAATGGAAGAGAAGAATTGGTTGAAATACTGAATATTTCTTCCCATAAAATTTTGTTATATTCGAATAAAATACAATTTTAAATTAATTTAAAAGGATTTTGAGAACTTTGTTAAAGGAATTTTGTTAAAAATTTCTGTAAAATAAATATTGTTGGGTGAGGACCATCTCTGTCTGAAGAGATTTGATTTCAATTTACCGGATGATGTTAAATTTTGCAAAGTATCGACGAACCCTAAACTGCTTTTTTAACTGAAAATTAAAAAGTTTCAAATCAGTCTGGAAAAATTATTTTTGGTTGTGAGGGTCAATTACAATAATTTTTGGTGAATAAACATTCCATCGAAATCCTACGCAGTTTCGAGAAAAAAATTCGAATAGGTAGTGAAATCTTTAGACGAAATTAAAAAATTTCAAATCATGCTAAAAAAATTATATTTAATTGCAGGGGTCAATTACAAGCATTTTTGGTGAATAGACATACCCTCGAAATCCTACCCACTTTCGAGAAAAAAATTCTTTACCAAAAATATAATTTCAGGCCCAGAAATGTCACCCCAAAATTTCGTGCGTAACTTCAAAACGTCATAACTTCTGAACGGATTGAAGGATTTTAATGTTTCAAGAGGCAAATGGCGCGAATTTTAGTGAAGAATATGTAGAAATTCTAACAATATTGAAAAAGTTGTTCCTTGGTCCCCGTAAAGTGAGAAAAACCATATCAAAATGGTCCAATTTTCAAACGACCATAACTCCTGCAATAGTGAATATATTTCAATGAAACTTTTTTCTAAAATGGAGCTCATGGGTACCTACATAAAAGTATTAGGCAACTTTTCTATAGGGCGTCAAACACAATTACTAAAAATCAACAGGTGTGCCTACATTTTTCCGAGAGAAAAAAAATTACAAATCGTTTTGAAAAAATTATGTTCGGTTGCAGGGGTAAATTACAATCATTTTTGGTGAATAGACATACCCCCAAAATCCTGCGCACTTTCTAGAAAAAAATTCAAGAATGTGTGAAATTTTTCGATAAAATTAAAAAATTTCCAATCCTTCTGGAAAAATTATTTCCAGTTACAAGTGTCGATTACAAGCATTTTTGGTGAATAGACATACCTTCGAAATCCTACCCACTTTCGAGAAAAAAATTCTTTACCAAAAATATAATTTCAGGCCCAGAAATGTCACCCCAAAATTTCGTGCGTATCTTTAAAACGTCATAACTTCTGAACGGATCGAAGGATTTTAATGTTTCAAGAGGCAAATGACGCGAATTTTAGTGAAGAATATGTAGAAATTCTAACAATATTGAAAAAGTTGTTCCTTGGTCCCCGTAAAGTGAGAAAAACCATATCAAAATGGTCCAATTTTCAAACGACCATAAC